CAGCTACCATGGCTGCCAGAGAGCTGTCCTTCATGGAAAACATCTCAAACATTACCTGTATGCTACATGTATTTTGAATAAGTTTTGGACATTTCACGATTGGCATTAACAATGTATTTGATATCATGTGTGCATAGGTCAGTACCAGTGACTCCCATGACATTGAGCATGTGAGTACAAATGGTAGGAAAACAGCACATTTGTGTTGGATGGGCCAGAGTAGTTTTAAAGGAGTGTGCCCAAAATGAAATACTGACCTGCAGGGTACATGATACAGGTGATGCTGGGAGTGGGATATAAATGTGGTGGCCAGGGTGCACTATTACAATAAAACAAAGACAGAAATGTCTAGTATAGAAGGGCCTCTACTTCTCTACTTATAAGGTGCCAGTAGATTTAATGATCAGAATGAAGTAGTTGGCTCCAAAGACTTGGGATTGAATGTAACTGAAGCCTAGCGCAGCAGAAAGACCTATTTAGAAGTAAGATTTGTCTAGGTAAACTATTAGGCCATCTTCTGAGGGTTGTAGCTGGGGATCTTAAGAGAGGTACAAGGTCCACTGAATACTTTTTTCAAGAGCCCAGTGCTTTGTATTTTGAAAAAATGAGTTGATACTATCAGTATTTTCTAGAGTGTCTTGGTGAGTCCTTAGGTTTTGGCTTCAGCAGGTTATTTATAATAGAATGAATAATTTGTCTATATACAGTTTCTTAAATGGTCCCATCATAGCAAGTAGTCCAGCAGAGGGGGTAAGGGGCCCTACAGAGTCTATTTGCTGTCAGCTGTAGGGAACACTTCCTCAGCCTGGACAGTAGATGCATCAAAATTATATTAGCAGTGGTGCCTTTTCTTTTCTTTTATTGAAGTAGAGTTGATTTACAAGGCTGTGCCAATCTGCTGTACAGCAAAGTGTCAGAAGTGGTGACTTTTCCTACATCAGGTGCATTAGTCAGTCACTAAGTTAGCCATGGCAAAGGAGGGAAGTCCCTTGAATTTTTATTTATTTATTTATTTAATTTATTTATTTTTGGCTGCGTTGGGTCTTCACTGCTGCACAAAGGCTTTCTCTACTTCTGGTGCGTGGGCTTCTCCTTGTGGTGGCTTCTCTTATTGCGGAGCATGAGCTCTAGGTACGCGGGCTTCCGTAGTTTTCACTCGCGGGCTCTAGGCGCGCAGGCTCAGTAGCTGTGGTGCACGGGCTTAGTTGCTCCGCGGCATGTGGAATCTTTCCCAACCAGGGATCGAACCCACGTCCCCTGCACTGGCGGGTGGACTCCTAACTGCTGCGCCACTAGGGAAGTCCCGTCCCTTGAATCTTGCTTAAACTTTATTCTAGAGACCTCTAAATGGTTACCGATTACAGGAGCTCACAGGGCCAAGATTAATACCGTAAGATCTCAGGTGTAGGTATGTGTCTCAGAAATATGAGTCAATTTGTCATCCTGAACAATGAAATGAGCCTCTGCAGACTGAGGCAGTATGTGTAGCGTAAGCAGCGACCTTGATTTGTACTTAGGTATTTGAGGTGATATAGTCCCAGAGTTCTTTTGCTCAAAAGGGTGACCTTGGATAAGTTGTTGCTATTGGCTGGATGAGACAGCTAGATCATTGTCAATGGCCAAAGAATCTGTAATAATGCGCAGATGAGTTTGATTTTTGGCCAGGGAATTCTCTAGTGCTAGTGCAATGGCCTGGAGCTTGACTAATCCATCTGATGCTTGGGTCCAGTTTTTGATCACAGGTGCCTCTTTGATCTAAAGACAGAACACAGCATCTCTGTAGTAGACGCCATCAGATTTGGTGGAAGCACAATGTCCATAAAAATATGAACTCCATGGTAACTCATGTGCTTCTGACTGATTCTCAAAGACACCAATATATCTAGAAAGGTGACATCTTCCAGAATGGATTACATCAATCAGAGGACAGGGGAACACACATCCTCTTCAGGTGGGATTATGGTGGAGGTGCCAATTTTGGCTCTGTTTTGTAAGTATCAGTTCATGTTCAGTGAAGAGGCCTCTGGTTAGAAAGCATGAGGGGTCCTGCATTTATGACCCAAGGACAAGTGAAAAGCCGACTTTGGAGGATCAACTCCATTTACAAAAAGACTCTGTCAGTTGCTAGTAGTGGCTTCTGTACTTGTGTGCAGCACTGGCTGAGAATAGTTTCTGGTACAAGAATGCCTTTGGCAATTTAAATCCACCATGGGTGATTTAAAGACTCTTAGATGCATAACAGGAGGCTGCAAAAGCCTCTATGGTAAAGGAGTGTGGGGAGGGAGACAGGAATGAACTGTTAAGTTTGAAAAATACTAGAGCCATTTATTTCCCAACTGTAAGTGTTTGTGAACAAGTAAGCAAGCATATCTGATAAACATGCGATGCCTGTGGTCTCTGTGGCTGATGGAATGTGCCCATGACATGGGTTCTGCCAATTGCTTCTGTCACCCTCGCAACTCACAGCCCCAGGTATTGTCTCAGATAAATTTTCCAGAGTGGAATACGCATGGATTTCTAAAGATGTTTCCAAGTAAGCAGGCACAAGTAGGCTTGAGTTGGGAAACAATGATCTGGAAACGGTCTATGGATGGCCAAGGAAGGAAATCATGCTGGTTTACACGAATGAGGATGTCCCCAGGCAGATCCCACTTGGGACACACCTTTATGTTTCAGAACCACAGTATTTCCAAAGATCTGTCTGAGGAATCTGACTTACTCAAAGATAGATGTGGAAGCCCTCTCTCTTCACTCTTAGTTATGTGATGAGGTGATGAGAGGAGGACGGGTGCAGCCCTAGTGGGTGTTAAGACAGGGTTGTAAGAAAGGCCTGTTGTGGCCCATGTCCTTCTTTCCCAGCCCTTCAATTCTTCCTGGAAGGATCCCAGAATGGTGGGAAAAAAGGCTGAACACATAATCAAAGTTCAGGAGAGTTTAACCATCTCCTAGCATATGAAGGCATTTGTGTTATTCATTTCCTCCCTCCCTCCCATCTATCAATCTATCTATTTTACATATCACAGCTATTACTTTTTTAAAATTGAGGTATAGTTGATTTGCAACACCGTGCCAATCTCTGCTTACAGCAAAGTGACCCAGTTATACACATATAGACATTCTTTTCCATCATGGTTTATCACAGGAAATTGAATATAGTTAGGACCTTGTTGTTTATCCATTCTAAACGTAATCGTTTGCCATCTACGAACCCCAAACTCCTGGTCCATCCTCACAGCTATTATTTTTGTCTCCTACTCTTACACAACACATGCTGGAAGTCTAAGCATATGGAAATGAAACCTCTGAATAGCAAAATGGGCCAATGGATCACTGATACACAAGACTTCCAACCACTCCTGCAATAAAAAGACATTGGAAAATTTCTCATTTCTCCTTTTATACTAAATTAGGATATTACCCAAAATAATACCCCCTCACTACAGCTCACCTCAATTATTCCTTGGATGACTGCCTCTAAACATCCACAGCTTTTTTTCATGTTTCCACTGGGAAACCACAGCAGACTTGCACAGTTATCACTCTACTCATAGGATAAAGTCAGGATGGGCTAGAACAGTGCAGATGAATGTGTTTCCCTAAATGGGAGGAACTCCATGATTTAATGGGGTAAACACTGTGTTGCTTAGTGTGTAAAGGAACAAAATGAAAATGCCAAATACTGTAACATTTTAGAAAATGTAAAGGTAAATGAGAATTCCCTCAAATGACATGGCCCAAATCAATAGGAAGTCCCAAGATCCAGGTGACAATGTCCAAACTCATGAGCACATATTCTATAAACAAAATGTTTAACAGTTGCAAAAACAAAGATGAACCATGTCTGTATCTTTATCTTTATGGGGAATCTTTACTGTGAATCACAGGAATACAGGATTTCTATACTGGTGCAATCTATTTAATTACACAGCCAAGCAGTTCCTGAAAGAGTGTTTAAGATGTATTATATGGTAGAAATTCAGTGATCAATAATGACATCATCATTCACTGAGGCACCTACCCTCAGAGAAAAGATATATACACACGGCAGGTTCCCTATTTTCTCACATTATTGCCTTACATTCCATCAAAGCCCTTATTTCCATCTATAAACCAAAGCTTTACCATATCTCTTTTCCCACAAAAATATAAGCACCAGGAATGCAAGAACCTGTTTGTCTCATGCTGCTGTATCCAAATCCTACAGTGCCTTGATTATTTGTGCTAAATGGGGTATACTGACTCTAAAGTGCATGGCAATGAGGGATGTTGAAACATTAGCATTAAGAGTATAGTCGACCCAGCAATCCCACTACTGCACATATACCCTGAGAAAACCATAATTCAAAAAGACTCATGTACCACAATGTTCATTGCAGCTCTATTTACAATAGCCAGGATATGGAAGCAACCTAAGTGTCCATCAACAGATGAATGGATAAAGAAGATGTGGCACATATATACAATGGAATATTACTCAGCCATAAAAAGAAACGAAATTGAGTTATTTGTAGTGAGGTGGATGGACCTAGAGTCTGTCATACAGAGTGAAGTAAGTCAGAAAGAGAAAAACAAATACCGTATGCTAACACATATATATGGAATCTAAGAAAAAAAAAAAAGGTCATGAGGAACCTAGGGGAAAGACGGGAATAAAGACGCAGACCTACTAGAGAATGGACTTGAGGATATGGGGAGGGGGAAGGGTAAGCTGGGACTAAGTGAGAGAGTGGCATGGACATATATACGCTACCAAATGTAAAATAAATAGCTAGTGGGAAGCAGCCACATAGCACAGGGAGATCAGCTCGGTGGTTTGTGACCACCTAGAGGGGTGGGATAGGGAGGGTGGGAGGGAGGGAGATGCAAGAGGGAAGACATATGGGGATATATGTATAGGTATAACTGATTCACTTTGTTATAAAGCAGAAACTAACACACCATTGTAAAGCAATTATACTCCAATAAAGATGTTAAAAAAAAAAAGAGTGTAGTCTCTGAGAAAAAAAGGCTTGATTGCAACAGTGGTCCTGTCTTTCTCTCTTGCTAGGTATGTGTTCTCTCACAAATTACCTAAACTTACAAAGTTGAGTCATAAATGAGATACTAAAAGAGACTTGAACTTTATAGTAAAGGGTGTCTAATACACTGTAGGAAGTACACCAGTGTTTGGATAACAAGTAGGAAAGGAAAAGCTGTTCCAGAGGACAGGGAACTGGCCTGCAATCTTTGCAAGGCCAAGTCTTTTCCCGGTGAAGAGAAAAATGTCACACACCACCTTCATCAAAGGTATTCGTTGACTATGATGGACCAAGACAAAAATTAGGGTATTTTGTAACCATATCTCTAAAACTGATAAAAGATAAAGCTCCAAATAATAAAAATGACCAGTATAGCCCTCTTCTTTCTAATGTAACTGGGGCTTCTTACGAATTAAGTTTAGCTCCACTACACTGTTTTTGCCTTCTAGAAAATAAGGATTATGATAACCAACGAAAGAATAAAGTTACCCTCCTTACGGCATCCAATACAGAAAAACGTCTTGCTTTCTTGGGTAGCAGTCAAATCCTCTAAAGCCAAACTCCTATAAGAAGAAGTCCTTCTGAGCATCCTGTACTATTATACCTCACATCACTTAATGGTTTGTGCTCATTCTTATTAGAATTCATTACATTCCTCTCTTTGACCACAAGTGCAATCCTGTAGGTCACTGACAAGAGGGCGCTTAAAAAAAAAAAAAACATGATTTAAGTATCTGGTACTAAGAATAAATGAGAAATTAATTTCATAATAAATATCGTAACTACAAAAGAATAAAAAGTAAAATTTGCCTGAGGAAAACATACCTGAACTTGTATGTACATAAAATTGACTTAAAATATAAATGATTAAGTGAAAGAAAATTGCAAAGTTTATCTGAAAATACATAATTATAAGGGTATATTTTAATATAGCCTGTCAGGACATGAAATGCACAATAATATTTGTTAGCATTGGACAGCTTAGAAAACAGTTAATAATATATTTCCATGAAAGAACTATAGAAGCATTCCTGTAACAAAAAAATATACATAGTTTAATCACATACAATCAAACAGAACTGAAAACACTGAGGTATTACATTGAGCTCCAAGAAACAAGAAAAACTCAGTCTCCTGACAGGAGAAAGGTTCTTATTCTCACATGGAAAGACCAAGTGAAGGCAGCCAGTGAACACTGCAGTAGAGAAAAAACTCCCATGTCATTCTTTTTGATTACACCATTGCAGATGTCATGGTGAATCAGGAAAACATACTCACTAGGACTGTTAACAGCACAAGGTGTTTCCTACACAAATCAGACCTTATATGGATATAATCTAGAGAAGAGGGGAATCAAAGAATACTCCCAATCACGACAATCTGATTAGTTTCCTGGTGGGCAAGAGACCCTGGAGAAGCTGGATTTTTGATGTGGATCTTGGGAAGACATCAGTTGAAACCAGAGCTCTCAGAAAAATTGATATCATACAGTTATTTGTGGTTTTGAGGATACTCTTGATTGGAAGGGCAAAAAATATGGAAAATGGGCTGGAAGATGGTATACCTAAAGCTCCTGTGCATCTGTCTCTCTATATGTAAAATCTGACTACTGCCTTCCTCACTTCTGCCTTCCAAATCTCATGCAAGTCAGACTATTGGTGGATTCTAACAAGGAACCACAAAAGGGATGAGTTCTGGAAAATCTAGTTCCTAACATTACCTACCGGGGGAATAACTCCAGCTCTAGATTTTGTTGTCCTATCAGGCCTCTCTTCTTAATTCAAAGTCTATTCACCAAATTATAGTCAGAAGGAAGGACATAAAGCAAAGACCCAAATATGAAAATAATAATTCACATGGAAACTATATTCTTTTATAAGTGAGGCATACATAAATATTTATTCAACTGTTTATTAGTATGGAAGACGGAAAAAGGCTCTTATACTCTTCACCCCCAAAAAGGAGCTTTGTCGGTAAGAAAGATAAATATATATTCTGGACTAGGATATCCAAGAACTGCCACAAGGCCATTAGGAAAATCCAAATACCAAACTGTCATTTTTCAGTGGCCCCTTAACACAGAACAAATAAAACATTATAAAACAATGTTAACCTAATTGCATTATTAGAAATACGCTTCAATTCACCTATGATCCAACAGGTTTCAAACAGGAAAGAGAAAATATTATTAACTGATTTAAAGAAAAAGCACTACCTATTAATCTTATGTACTGCTGTGGAAACATGACTTATAAAATCATCTCACCTTGTATTCATTTCTGAGAGTAATTACTAGAAATCCACCATCCAATGGTGCACTCTAAGAAAAGAGGCTTGATAAAGACAACATATTTACAACTTTAATAACAACTCTTTCCTATTTTCTGGAATGTTATACATAGATTAGTTTCCATCAAGCTTTCTCATGTTACTTACATTTATATTCTTTTTCACATGTAAAGATATGGGCTCACTGAAATCTTTCCCAGGCTGTTTAACTCAAGAGTTTTTGTCCAGTGAGTCCTTTCATCCTTTCAGAACTGGGATGACAAGGCTTTCCAACATTCTTTACATTTATATGGTGTCTCTCCAGTGTGTGTTCTCACACGTCTTCAAATGGTTTGTGACAAATGAAGGGTTTACCACATTCCCTCCACTCTGATCTTTTGCACATCTTCAAAAAAAAAAAACTCTGATAACATCTGAAGGCTTTTCCACATTCCTTACAGTCACAGGGTTTCTCTTCACTATGAGCTCTTTTGCGTGTTTCTAATGAAGTGTAATCTCTGCAGGATTTACCACACTGCTTACAAGGTTTCTCTTCTATGGGAGTCCTTTCATGTGTTTTCAAGCTTTGAAAATACCTGAAGGCTTTCCCGTCTTGTTTACACTGACAGGCTTTCTCTCCAGTGTGGCTTCTTTCATGTTTTCAAAGTGAAGTTGATCAACTAAAGGCTTTTCCATATTCCTTATTCACAGAATTTCTTCTCAGTATGAACTCTTTTGTGCTTTTGGAAGGAAGTGTAATATCTGAAAGCTCTACCACATTGTTCACATTCATAGGGTTTCTCTCCAGTGTGCAGTCTCATGTGTACTCTTAAGGTCTGGTGATGGGAGAGGGCTTTCCCACATTCCTTGCATTCATAGGGTTTCTCTCCAGTATGAGTTCTTCTGTGTGATTGTAAGGAATTATAGTAACTGAAGGCTTTACCACATTGTTTACATTCATAGGGTTTCTCTCCAGTGTGAATCCTTTGATGTATTCGAAAAGAACTAGGAGAAATGAAGGCTCTCTCACATTCCTTACATTTATAAGGTCCATCTCCAGTGTGAGTGATCATGTGTGCTCGAAGGCTTGAGAGACCTCTGAAGGCTCTCCCACATTCCTTACATTCATAAGGCTTTTCCCCAGTATGAATTCTTTCATGTTTTCGAAAAGAACTGGGACAACTGAAGGCTTTACCACACTGCTTACATTCATAGGGTTTCTCTCCTGTATGAGTCCTTTCATGTGTTCGAAAAGTATGATAATATCTAAGGAATTTCCCACATTGTTTACACTGATAGGGTTTCTCTTCACTGTGAGTTGTTTCATGTGTTCGCAATGAAGAGGAACAATTAAAAGCTTTCCCGCATTCCTTACATGTATATGGAGCATCTCCGGTGTGTGTTACCATGTGTCTTCGAAACGCTGTGCTCCACATGAAAGCTTCCCCACATTCCTTACATTCATAGGGTTTTTCTCCTGTGTGAATCCTTTCATGTGTTTGAAAGGATGCGCGGGAATGGAACGCTTTTCCACATTCCTTACATTTATATTTTTTCTCTCGATTGTGATTTTTTTCATGCGTCTCCAAAAACTGGAGATAGCTAAAGGCTTTACCACATTCCTTACATTTATATGGCTTCTCTCCATGTTTCTGATACTCATATGGTTTACGTTCAGTGTGACAGCTCATGTGTCTCTTAAGGGATGAATGACGCGTAAAGACTTTTCCACATATACTGCATTCACGTGGTTTCACTCCAGTAGTTTTCTTGTTCAGATTGAGATTTGGAATAAGGCTGAAGTTTTCTCCACATTGACTACCCTCTTTACTTTCACAGAGTCTCTCTACCACATGACTTCTGTAAAAAACAAGGAGTATATTATCAATGAGGTCTTTATTAACAATTTTATACTCAATAGTAGGATATTTGAAGTACATTTTTATCACTTATAGCAATAGTGTAGGTTTTATGCCTTGTCTGAATTGTTTCAAGTTAAATATAAGAAATGCTCTTGCAATCATCAAAACAGTGACATTCATATAGAGTTTATCTATAGTGTTGAACTATTTTGCAAACACTGAACATCTATGTCATATAAGAAAGTAATTTTGGTGAAAATTTTCTAAGAATAACTAAATTTGGAGCATGCATTATTTCTTTTATTTCCTTCTTTTAAAACTGCATAACATAACAGGATACTCACATGAGGCACTATTTTATATTGTGAGTGTGACTTACCTTAGTTTTCTCCCCTGGTTTTTGTACTGATCTTCAATGTCATGATCTTCCCATTTTTCTCCTAAATTGCAGACCAAGAAAAATGATTCCAAGATATTAGAAGTTATAGAAAAACTATCTAAGTCCATTGTTGGCTGTGACCATGCCTAGTTTATTTAGCAACATCCTGCATTTCCACATTCAACATCTTGGAACAATGTTAATGAGCAAGAGACATGTGTTCTCTAATTGACAAAGTAAAGGTAAGTTGTCATCCTCACCTACTGAGGCCAGGTTCCTCAACGTTTCCCGCATCACATCTCTGTAGAGTTTCTTCTGTGAAGGATCCAGTAAAGCCCACTCCTCCAGGGTGAAGCTCACAGCCACATCCTCAAAGGTCACTGAGTCCTAAAACATCCCAGATATGTGTATAGTAGGATGTGTGAGACTAACAGCACTGGACATTTATACGAAGGTTATGTATGATTCTGTCATCTCCAAACATTTATTCTATGACTTGGTCATCAGAAACTTACTCTCTGTCCACACTTCCTAATAAGTTTAACAGCATCGTGAAAACATGCAAATTATTTACATAGTTTTATTGTGATTTCGTCACATCTTATTTCTCTCTAATTGCAGGGTCCAGAGCATGTTGGGAAATGACAGAAATGCTACACACATGAAACAAATATCATTTTAAGATCATGGATTCCTCGTGAGGAAAACTCTTTCCTTGCCCGTCTTATTACCCACCATTTACAGCACACCATGAACCAAAGGGTCAAATCTGCATAAGATTTTACTAAATAAAAACATAGTGAAAACTAAAAGCTTTTACTTCTATTCCTATCACCAAACATGAGAATCCAGAATACCTGTAGAAATCCAGCTTTTAATAAGGTCCAGCTGGCTATTTCGTCCCTAAGTACTCCAGGCCTTTAGAAGTAGTGTGGTATGATGTAGCTGGTGGAATGAAAATATCCTTGTCAGGAAGTATTGCTTTTAACTTGTGTAATACTTACCACAGGCTCAGTTTTCCCTTTCTCTCTCTGGTTTGATGGACTAGAAAGTTATTTGGAACTTAGAGTTCAGATACTAGGAAGAAGATGTCACAACTTAGACCACAAAGTCCCTATACTTGTGCGCCTTGGGGCTGCTTAGAGGCACACAAAGTGCTGTAGTACGCCAGAAGAGCTCTTTAGGGCAGAACCAGAACACTGGGCCCTGTGCCTTGTTGACCTTGAGGAACAGCTGCAGACTGCAAGTGTGTTCACTGAAAATCACCATGGATTCATGGCTAATTTGCCCATAAAATATATGAAGGATTCAGCAGTGCTTTCCTCCAAACAACTCTAAAATCTCCATTTTCAAACAGCAGGAAGAAGTGTTTCCCGACCAGCCATTCTAGAGGTTCTTCTCCCAATTTCTCTAATTCCCAAGCTCCTATCTGGTCTACAGAAGTATGATGGCTTGACCACTGAGCATACGAATTCCTTAGTTGATGACACCACATACTACCAATAGTGAATGAAAGGGTTTACTTCCATAATTGAGGTCTCTGGGGAAAGTAAGGCATAATTCTCCAGCTGCCATGAAATGGCTTGAGAGAGAAACAAAAGGTGCCTGGACTTTTTTTTTTAAATTGAGGTTAGGGGGTGGGTTTAGGTGAGGGTTCACACACAAGAACAGGATCTTATGAGGACTGACTGTTTTGCTACTGCCAAAGGAAGAAGCACCAAGGCACTCTTATCACTTTGTATAGATGTGGGTCAAAGAGAAATGAGGGGGGATGAGACTTTAAGGTTATCAGCAGCCAGTCATCAAAAACTGGAGTCAGAGAACTCTGGTTTCTCGTTTTGGATGCCATCATTCCCAACCTCATAGAAAAAAGTGAAAACACTTGAAATCAACAACTCTTCTTAGTTCCATCAGAGCTCTGAAGTCACAGGAAACCACTGTTTTCAAAACTGGGAAACAGAAAATAAAGATACAAGGCCTATACTGAAAACAATCCATTTCACCAGAAGCTAGTTCAAAGACAAAAAAGAGCAAACAATGCAGAACACAATATCCATGAACTGTAGGACAATGACAGAATGTTTAGAATACACACAATGGAAATACCTGAAGGAAAAGAAAGACAGAAAGGAACAGAAGAAATAAGTGAAATAATAATAACAGATTTTTTTCAAAAATTAATCATTGATGGCAAACCACAGATCCAGGAAGCTCAGAGAACACAAAATGAAAATGCTAAAAAATGTACACCCATGATGCAGTGGTTAAGAATCTGCCTGCCAGTGCAGGGGACACGGGTTCAAGCCCTGGTCCAGGAAGATCCCATACGCCGCAGAGCAACTAAGCCCGTGCACCACTACTGAATCCTGAGCACCTAGAGCCTGTGCTCTGCAACTAGAGAAGCCACTGCAATGAGAAGCCCACGCACCGCAACGAAGAGTAGCCCCCACTCGCCACAGCTAGAGAAAGCCCGCACAGAGCAACAAAGACCCAATGCAGCAAAAAAATAAATAAAATTAATTTAAAAAAAAGCACACCCAAGTATATCATATGCAAACTGAAGAAAAAGAATATATTGAAAAGAGCTAGCAGAAGAAACACCTTAGTGAGCTGAGAAAAAAAGATTAAATTTTTTTTTATTTGATTGAAGTATAGTTGATTTACAATGTTGTGTTTTTTTTTTAAAGACTAGTCCTTTGTTTTATAAATTTATTTATTTAGTTTTTCTGTGTTGGGTCTTCATTTCTGTGCGAGGGCTTTCTCTAGTTGTGGCAAGCGGGGGCCACTCTTCATCGCGGTGCGTGGGCCTCTCACTATCATAGCCTCTCTTGTTGTGGAGCACAGGCTCCAGACGAGAAGGCTCAGTAGTTGTGGCTCACGGGCCTAGTTGCTCCGCGGCATGTGGGATCCTTCCCAGACCAGGGCTTGAACCCATGTCCCCTGCATTAGCAGGCAGATTCTCAACCACTGTGCCACCAGGGAAGCCCAATGTTGTGGTTTAAAAAATATATATATATTTATTATTTATTTTATTTATTTACTTATTTAGGCTGCACCGGGTTTTAGCTGTGGCATGCATGCAGGATCTAGTTCCCTGACAAGGGATCAAACCCGAGACACCTGCATTGGGAGCTCAGAGTCTTACCCACTGGACCACCAGGGAAGTCCCTACAATGTTGTGTTAATTTCTGCTGTACAGCAAAGTGAATCAATTATACATATATATTCTTTTTCATATTCCTTTCCATTATGGTTTATTACAGGATATTGATTATAGTTCTGTGCTATGCAGTAGGACCTTGTTGTTTATCCATTCTATATATAATAGTTTGCATCTGCTAATCCCAAACTCCCAATCCATCCGTCCCCCACTCCCTCTTGGTAGCACTAGTCTGTTCTCTATATCTGTGAGTCTGTTTCTGTTTCGTAGATAAGTTCATTTGTGTCATATTTTAGGTTCCACATATAAGTGATATCATATGGTATTTGTCTTTCTCGTTCTGCCCTTACTTCACTTAGTATGATAATCTTTAGGTCCATCCATGTTGCTGCACATGGCATTATTTTATTCTTTTTTATGACTGAGTAGTATTCCTGTTTGTTTGTTTTTTTGGTATGTGTGTGTGTGTGTGTGTGTGTATATATATATGTATATATATGTGTGTGTGACACCAATCTTCTTCATTCATCTATTGATGGATATTTAGATCATGAATAGTGGCTTGGCTATTGTGAATAGTGCTGCTATGAACATAGGGGTGCATGTATCTTTTCTAATTATAGTTTTGTCTATATGTCCAGGACTGGGATTGCTGGTTCATATGGCAACTCTATTTTTAGTTTTTTAAGGAACCTCCATACTGTTTCCCATAGTGGCTGTATCAATTTACATTCCCACCAACAGTGTAGGAGGGTTCCCTTTTCTCCACACCCTTTCCAGCATTTGTTATTTGTAGACTCTTTAATGATGGCCATTCTGACCAGTGTCAGGTGGTACCTAATTGTAGTTTTGATTTGCATAGAGAAAAAAAGACTTGAATTAAATCAGACTTGTTTTCAGAAACAACACAAGGAAGAAGAGAGTGGAGTGAAATACTGTACAGGCAGGCGTACTTCATTTCATTGTGCTTCACTGTATTGTACTTTGCAGATTTTGTGTATTTTACATATTAAAAGTTTGTGGCAACCCTACATTGCCAGATGATAGTTAACACTTTTTAGCAATAAAGTTTTAAAATTGAGCTATGTAGATTGTTTTTTAGACATAATGCTATTGCATACTTAATAGGCTACAATATAGTATAAACATAACTTTTATATACACTGGGAAACCAAAAATAAGTGTGACTCACTTTATTGTGGTGGTCTTGAACAGAACCCCCAATCTCTGAGGTATCCCTGTATTTAAAGTTTTGGGGAAAAAAAAACACTCTCTTGGGACTTCCCTGGTGGTGCAGTGGTTAAGAATCTGCCTGCCAATGCAGGGGACACGGGTTCGAGCCCTGGTCCGGGAGGATCCCATATGCCATGGAGCGACTAAGCCCATGCACCACAACTACTGAGCCTGCGCTCTAGAGCCCACGAGCCACAATTACTGGGCCCGTGTGCCACAACTAATGAAGCCCGCATGTCTAGAGCCCATGCTCCACAACAAGAGAGGCCACTGCAATGAGAAACCTGTGCACCGCAACGAGGGGTAGCCCCCACTTGCTGCAACTAGAGAAGCCCACACGCAGCAACGAAGACCCAACATAGTGAACAATAAATAAATAAAATAAATAAATTTAAAAAAAGAAAGAATAAAGTATGGTTCTTTAAAAAAAAAAACCCAAAACTCTTAGTTTTCAAATCCTAAAGCTAGTCCTTTGAAAATATTAATTTAATAAAATTGATAAACATCTAATCAAGACAACTGAGAAAAGAAGAAAAACGGAAATTACTAAATCAGAAATAAAAGGAGGAGGAAATAACCATGAAAAAAGATTTGACACCATCCAACATCCATTTATGATAACAAACTAGAAATTGAGTGGAAGGCTCTCTTCTTAAAAAAGAACAACTACACAACACCTGTAGGTAAGATCATACTGAGTCGTGAGAAGCTGGATGCTTTACTGTTAAGAGGGGAATAGGGCAAGGAAGTTTCCTTTCACTGCTCCTATTAAACAATGTACTGGAAGCCCTAGCCAGTGCAGTAAGGTAAGAAAAAGAAATAAAAGGTATACATAGTGGGAAACAACAACTAAAACTTTGTTCCTTATGATACAATTGTTTATGCAAAACATCTGATAGCATCCACAACAACAGAGATAACCCCTGGAATTAGTAACAGTGTATAGCAAGGTTGAAGGATACACAAGTCAATTGGTTTCCTATAGACCCAAGCA